GTAAACGAAACGGATAACGAAGTTGGCAACAAAGAGCAGCAGTAATAAGGTTGGCCAAGAGAATAGTCGATATCTACGCGGGCGACAGTCAAACACGTCCCAGATATTCATTCACGACGGCAGTGATCCGCAGGCGCACCCAGGAACTGCTCATGATTATGTCCCCCCGTTTCGTTCGATGTGCTTAGAGGTCGCAACGCTCAAGTAGGTCACATCCTAGATGGACAACAGCACCGCGCGCCCACCAAATTAACGTTGCCAAACGTGGGCGGGTGTAGAGGCTACATACCCCGTGCCCATGTGTGGAGTTACACGATGAACTGCTTGAAATTGCTCCAAAACGTACAACAAGGGTAGCCTACTTTCTGTGACAATAAAGGTAATATTACCCACACGCGTCCGCAGGCGCCAGACGGAGTGATGCAGCTCAATATTATCGAAAAACACTGCTTTAAAAATACTTAGTTAATACTCTTGACTCGAGTTAGGATATACGTCAATGTTTACGACGATGTATTTTTAGCAAAACAGTTGTGCGAGCCAAACGGCCTCTGTTTTCACTTGAACCTTTCCCTACGATAACGAGACGTTGGCCAGTTTTAAGGAGGATGCAGGGGAAAAGGGGGACCACACTGTAATTCGAAGTGTGATACTTTTCACACATTTTCGTGTGATAAAACGCCCCGTGTGATTCCCACGATTTATCACTCCTGGAGAAGGGGTCAATTTTTATCACAAATGTTATGTGATGCCTATTGCAAAATAATGCGATGATTTCGGATTTCCTACAAAACGGTGTGAATGCACATCGCACAAAACTGTGATACATAAAAGTATCGCTCAATTGAGTGATGGTCATCACAAATATAAGCAATGAATTTAATGTTGTACTTTTCCTGCGATGATCATCACAACATCGTGCAATATTTCTGTATCACAGAAAACGTGTAGTCTGTATCACACTCTGATTTACAGTGCAGTTCAGGCCACACACTCTCAAGGCATATCCGCCCAAGTAGGCATCTACATAGAGGCCAGGTTAAGGATTTTGTTAGGGTAAGGTGAGCAGTGATGGCCACTTTTCTCGATTCGCAGCCAAACTTGTCACTTTGCGAAATGCACTGAGCCGAATGAAGGGCATTTTGCACTTGATTTGAGACAAGTTTCACGTGCAGTGAGACAGCTTTAGTTGAATCTAGAGTATCTAGGTTATTTTATTCGATGGAGTGCATTTAGTCCATTCCACTTAAATCCGGTTTGCGATATACTTCTACTGAATTTTTGCGATAACTGGTGTTTTGCGGTTCGCACGCTAAAGGGCATGATAACCCTCAGAAATGCGATAAAAGTATCACATTATTGTGATCTTTTGGGGGTTGTCATGCCCTTTAGCGTGGAAATCGCAAAACACCAGTCATCGCATGGGTTTTGGTTAACACACACTAAATGACGAGGGACAATTTTTGTACGTAGGCTGGATGTGTCTTTGAGCACATCTAAACCAAATGCAAATTTGCATCCAAGTCACATACAAAATATAGCATTTGTACCTAGCCTAGGTACACTTTGTACCTCTGTACAGACAAATTTGTATCTGATGAAGATGTGCTCAAAGACACATCTAACTAAGGTACAAAAATTGTCCCTCCCCATTTAGAGTGCAGCACCGCAAGAGCAAGCTCAGTGATCAAGCCAATTAAGTCTAGGATTAAAATAATAAAATACTCGGGGGGTGGGGTTGGGGGTACAACACCTTTCCCGCAAAAATTTGTTGGATAACAATATCTAAATGGCAGGCAATGTAACGGTGACTGTATAGGAATGCCTAAGGTGGGGTTGGTGCTAGGTGCTAACCTCCACGCATTTAGGGCACCTGTGTGCTACACAAGTACAGGGCATAACAAAGGAATTGAAAGGAAAGCGGGAGATAATGGCTCGGCCGAGAAAAAGAAGAAACGATCTTGTTGTGCATCAAACAACGAAACGAGAGGAGAGGGTAAGAGAGAGACGAATACTGATTCGTTCCCCGCGTCGTCTCGTTTCAGAGTGTTCTAACAATCTGCATCTCAGATCCTGTAAGGCTTCGAGAGTCACGGGCTTCAAAGGCGGGGCGGCGCAGGGCTCGAAGGGGAAGAGGGGGACACTCACAAGAAGAGAAACTTAACGAATTTCCAGGAGGTAATGCGAAACGATATTCCCGTTTTGTGTGTGAGTGGGGTGGGG